AAGCTCCTAGAGGAGACTGGAGACTGTTACAGAGGTGCCATCCGCCTTTGCACTTGTTACGCAGCCACCCTTGACTCCTCCCCCTTCTTACTCCCCTACACGTACTCACAAATCCAGTGAGTACCAAAGGCTAGTTGATTCTATCTCTGAGGCATGTCCTATTTACCACATTCCTCCACTCCATCTTCAGTGCTACAGGCTCTGTTTAGGCCCCATGACCTTTTGCTCAGTTAGCCTCCTGTTTGGACTCTCTCCTTCCACTTTTGCCTTTGTCTACACCATCTCCCAGAGAGCAACCAGAGGGATTTATCTAAGATGTACAGGTGACTGTGTTACTCTTCTGTTTAAAACCTTTCAATGTCTCAGCAGTACCTACATCCTTTTGCATGGTATATAAGGCCCTATGTAATCTTTTTCTGATGCACCCAATACTCTAATCTAATAAACTAGCCATACATGAAAGACAGCAGGGCCCGGGAAAACCCAACCAGTGCTGGCTACCTCAAATCCTCCCCCTTGAAAGGAGACCACACAGTCAGTAACAATCATAGGCCCCTGGGAGTATCATTAAAAATAGAATTTTCAAAATTAAATTTTAATGATGTTCAGAAAGGAAGAGTAAGGTGCAGCTGCCACAGGTCCCCTCCCCATAAGTATAAGGCCCAAAGAATTCTCCCCAGTTTCCCACCTCCACAGTACACTTCCAGTTCTCCATTGGGTTCAGGCTTCTGACACCTTTGCTCACAGATTCCCTCCATTTTTATAATGCCCTTCTCTGTCTTTGCAACACTACCTATCTTTCAAGGCCCAGGGGAAATGCCATGTCCTCAAATAAACTTCCAGGATCTCCCATGAGAACTATTTCTTTAATTGTTAATTTTAAATATAGTTGGTATACAATATTATATTTGTTATATTAATTTCAGATGTACAATATAGTGATTCAACATTTTTATACCTTGCAATGTGATCACCCCACTAATTCTAGTCATCATCTGTCACTGTGCAAACCTATCACAATAGCAACTATATTCCCCTTCACCTTTTTCACATGTCCTCCCACCCTCTCCCCTCTGGCAACCATCCCTTCGGTCTCTGTTTCTAGGAGTCTGTTTTTGTTTTGTTTTGTTTCCAGATTCTACATAAAAGTGAAACTATAGGTATTTGTCTGTCTCTGTTTTAGTTATTTCACTTCTTAGCTTAATGCCCTCTAAGTTCATCCATGTTGTTGCAAATGGCAAGATTTCATTCTTTTTATGGCTGCATAATATTCCATTCTTTATCCATTCATTTATTGATGGACACCTAGGTTGTTTCCATATGTTGGCTATTGTAAATAATGCTTCAATAAACACAAGGGTGTATGTATCTTCTCAAATTAGTGTTTTTGTTTTCTTCAGATAAATATCCAGAAGTGCAATTGCTGGGTCCTATGGTAGAGCTATTTTTAGTTTTTTGAGGAATCTCCATACTGTTTTCCATAGTGGCTGCACCAATTTGTAGTCCCACCAACAGTGCACAAGTGTTCCCTGTTCTCCTTATCCTTGCCAACACTTGTCATTCATTGATTTATTGATGATAGCCATTCTGACAGGTGTGAGGAATAGATATCTCATTGTGCTTTTGATTTGTATTTCCTTGATGATTAGTGATGTTGAGCATCTTTTCACATCTGTTGACCATCTGTATGTCTTCTTTGGAGAAATGTCTCTTCATGTCCTCTGCCCCTTTTTGGATTTGATTATTTATTTTTTGTTATTGAGTTGTATGTGTTCCTTATATATTTTGGAAACAGACTTATTGAATATATCATTTGAGAATATATGCTCCCATTCAGTAGGTTGTGGAATCAGGGAACTGGACAGATACATGAAAAAAGAAAAAGAAAAAGAAAAAGAAAAGAAAGAGAAGGAGAAGGAGAAGGAGAAGGAGAAGGAGAAGGAGAAGGAGAAGGAAGGAAGGAAGGAAGGAAGGAAGGAAGGAAGGAAGGAAGGAAGTAACTGGATCACTCTTCTTATACCATATACAAAAACTCAAAATGGATTAAAGACTTAAATGTAAGGTCTGAATCCATAAAAGCCCTAGGAAAAAATATAGGTAGTAAACTATTTGACATCAGTCTGAGTAATATCTTTTTTGATATGTCCCCTTAAGCAAGGGAGGCAAAAGCAAAAATAAAGAAATGGGACTTCCATGACTCCTGCTCCATCACCATAGAATGCTGCTTATTCTGCTTTGCAATTCTTCTTGACTTATGTAATCATTAGTCATATATATGTCAATCTTTCTCTCCTACCTGGACTATGAATTTCTCAGCTGCCAGCACCAATGCCTGATCCAGAAAAGATATCAGTACAATTGGATGAAATGAAATCCTTCAACTTCATAGCACCTGAGACCCTAAGTAGGCCCAGAAAGGATCCTAGGTTATGTCTCATACAACCACCACCCTCCCTTCACTAGGTCATCTCCATCTTGACCCAGCCATGTGTCATTTTGCAAACACAAACTGGTTAGGCAGCAGAGCATTACAAAAGGACCAAAGCTTATACTTCCCTTGCAGGTCAGACTGGCTTTTGGTACAGTATGTGGTTGTAGAAAATGTAAATGGTACAGTTCACATGAGAATCCAGTGTAGAAAAATGTTCTGGTGCCATAAAAAACAACAACTAAGTTTCCAAATGCAGACATATCTCCTATGTTTGGGAGGCTTTGAACTCCTACTTCCCAGGCTATCTTTGGGCTCCATATCTCTTCAGACCTTGTATTCTGTTATAAGGCATTCTTTTACAAAGTAGGCATCTTGCTTTGGCTTGTTCTTACATCATTTAACGTGTATTTATTTTCTCCCCAATTATATTACAACCTAAAATGGGGACCTAAAAAGAATCCTTGGCCTATGCTTTTAAAAGTTTACCAGGCTGTTAAAAGATTCTAATGTGGTAACATTTATAGCATATGTGATAAGGTAAGTATAGGATGCTCTTCAAATGTAAGGTCTGTTTTATTATTACAATTTTTAAGACCTTTACTCTCTACTACTTAGTTATGTGTGTTTGAGATTCCACACTTGGGATCAAAGCCTTTATTACAAATTCCTGGGCATAATACTTTAAATCATGGTTTCCCAAATTTGCCAGAAGATAAGAATCACTGGGAACCCTTGTTAAAAACACATTCCCAGAATCTACACCAGACCTACTGAATAAAAATTTCCAGATAAGATTCGGCTCCTACAATTCTAAAGTGTGGATTTGTCCACACCACCAATTCTCTGACACCAGCTGGGTATCCTATAATTCAATTAGATTTTTAAATTTTAATTTAAATTTTATTTTTCAATGATAGTTTACATTCAATATTATTTTGTATTAGTTTTAGGTCTGCAGTAAAGTGCTCCCCCTGATATTTTTAGTACCCAGCTGGCACCATACATAGTTATGACAATATTATTGACTATATTCCCTATACTGTACTTTACCTGACTATTTTATAAGTACCATTTTGTACTTCTTAATCCTTTCACATTTTTCAGCAAGCCTCCCAACCACCCTCTCCTCTGCAACCATCAATCTGTTCTCTGCATCTATTGGTTTGTTTCTGTTTTGTTTGTTCATTTATTTTGGCATTTAGATTCCACATATAAGTGAAAACATGTGGTACTTGTCTTTCTCTGTCTGGCTTAGGTCCATCCATGTCTGTTGCAAATGGTAAGGTTTCATTCTTTTCTTTTTAATCCTCACCTGAGGATATTTTTTCCATTGCTTTTCAGAGAAAGTGGAGGGGGGGGAGATGGACGTGGAAGAGACATATCAATTGATTGCCTCCTGCACTCGCCCCGACCTGGGCAGGGTATCGAGCCTGCAACCGAGGTACATGCCCTTGGCCAGAATCAAACCCTGGACCCTTCAGTCCATAGGCCAATGCTCTAACCACTGAGCAAACTGGCTATGGCAAGGTTTCCTTCTTTTTTATGCCCAAGTAATATTCCATTGTATATATGTACCACAACTTTACCCACTCATCTGATGGGCACTTGAGTTGCTTCCATTGCTTGGCTACTGTAAATAATGCTGCAATGAACACAGTAC